ACCAGTGGCAGTGTGCTTAGAATTTACGGAATCATGCAGAATCCCAGGTAATAGAAAAGAACATTAAAGTAATCAAATCTAGAGATTTTCAAATATGTTCAGTAGTAGAGCTCCTAGAAGTCACAGTGCTCTTTGCAAAACATCACAAATTACTGACAGATAATATAATTACATAAACTAGAAGTAATTTCACTAGCAGACACAGCATGGTGTAATGGGAAAGAGAAGGCTTTGAAGTCTCACACATCTGACTTTTCCATTCACTAGCTTGTGACCTTGAGTAACTTATTTAACTTTTCTGTGCTTCTGGTCCCTCACCTGAAAAATAGAAAAAGCAAGTGCCTATTTCAGGGTTGTTCAGGCTTGCTTTTGACATATACAGTGTTTATAAGTGCATAATTTCACATCTAAAATGCTTGGGGCCAGGCTGGCTTCAGAATTAGGATTTTTTTTTATTTAAAAAATGTAATATAGGAAATAGGTCTTATAAGTAACACCCCCAGCTGAAACGCTACCCTATAATCCAACACTTTTATATTTCTGCAGCATTTGTACCAAATTTATTTAAAATATACTTTTTTCCCCAAACCATTTTGAATTTAGTTAGGGTTTTGGATTTGCGTACAAGGGATTGTAAACATGTATTATTATTTGAAGATAATATGTCTGCTACATGTATGCAGGTCTCCATAGCTTAAGAAAATATGTATTTTTATGAGGGATGCTGTTGGTATCACATCCAAATCCTTTTTACTAGTCAATGCAGTCATCCTCCAACTTTTGCCAACATTTGGCTGATAACAACTCACAGTTGTCCCTTTCTTAGAAATTTGCCTTCAACGAAAAAGGAGCTACCTCTCTTTGGAGCAAGGGAGAACTGTCAGTGACTGTCTGGCATAGTCCCTTATCTCAATAGACTAATTTTGGGATACAGTTCTTGTTTCAGTTTCCTTGTGAAATTAGACTAAAGCTGGTTTTCGAATTTACATTCTTCCTTAGTTTTCTTCTCCTGTCCTGTGCTGCTTCTCTCATCATTTCCTAAGAGCAAATCCCTCAATAATTCACTTGAACCAGAATCTCTATCTCAGGCTCTGCTTCTAGGGAACCAAACCTGAGATTTTTCCTAGAAAGCATACCCTAAGGATAGGATTCTGGAATTAGAGCACACAAGGACAGGATGACAATATGGTAGATGAAGTATGAGATTCCCTGGCATACTGTAGATGTAGTTGCAGAGAATTTCACCTGCAGTGAAGTGGGGTGGGATACAGGTGGAAGGAGAGGATGCTCAGTCCAACTGGTGCAATGTCTCAGATATTTGAAAGATATGGGAAATAGCAACCATAAGGACTGTGGAAGTGGGTGACTATTGCTAAGAGCCATTGATGAACTGATGAAAGAAAATGATGGGCTCAGATCTATTAATTGACAATTTAAAGCAAAGGACCTCACTGTTAGCATTTAGAGACCTTCATCTCTTGCAGCCAGTGGTCAGATTTAGTTAATTATCAGGCAGAATTGTAAGAATGGGCAAGTTTTAGAAAAGACTGAATTCTCAGTGTGTGAGAATCTCCCCATAAATGTTGAGTCTTGATAGGGGAGAAGTGGGACCCTGAGATTTGGGGTGAAGATATCTAGGTGGATGCATTTGAGAAACTTGAATCCCAAGATTCCTCTGAATCCTCTGGGTCTATAGAAGTGACCCACTGTCCCAGGTAAGAAGATAAAGGCCCATCCCTCCCCTTTTGTAGGAACCTTATAAGACAATGCAAGTCCTCCTCAGGGTCTCTCCTCAACTCTCATTCTGGCTATCAGACCCATCACTAGGATCCAGTAGCCCAACTAGGCAAGATTATATCCCAAAGTAGCTATACAACCTGACTTATATGTAATGGCAAGTACCAGGAAAGTATGCCTGAGGGCTGGACAAATGGGGGTAGAATTTAAAGCTGGATAAGAGAGAGTTCATCAATATCAGGCCACTTTGCCATGACACAGAAGTCAGTACTCTGCAAGGGCCCCAATAGATGGTTCTATACACTGCTAGGACAGCTCTTTGAAGCTTGAAAGAAGTGATAGCCCACATCCACATTAAATAAAGTATGTAGAGATGCCAGAACTGTTGTGGCAAACAGTGGTGAAAGGAATCAAAAGGCTCAGAGAAGTAGGCCTGCTATAACGAGTCTATTATCTAAGACTGAAAAATCCACCAGTTGATTATGCTTCTTGGAAGGGCCTGGAGAACACTCCATTTACTGAGGCAACCAGCAATACACTAGTTAGGGAAAGTACCAGCATCACCGAGAGTCTTACAGCCATTGTTATCTTTAGGTCAAGACTGATGGTAGGAGATGGGCTCCTGAGTAGCAATGGAGATAAGATTGCAGACTCGCAGAGACTGAGGGGCAGTACTTAACCATTAGAAGAAGGGTGGACTTACTGTCGAAATGGTAGCCAGAAGGGTCTGGCTGACAGGGATTTTGGGACATGGAGTTCTTAGAGCCAAGATAGATGAACTACCTGTTATATATAACTAAAAGATATCAAAAATGGATGAGCAGACAAAAAGACAAATACTATGTGATTCTACTTATATGAGGCATCTAATGTAGTCAAATTCATAGAAATAGAGAGTAGAATAGTGGTTGCTGGGGGCTGGAGGGAGGGGAAAGAGGGCGTAATTGAATAGATAGAGAGTTTCAGTTTTGCAAGATGAAAATGCTCTGGAGATCTGTTGTACAACAGTGAATATACTTAACACTACTGAACTGTACACTTAAAAATGGTTACGATGATAAGATTTTTTTTATCACAATTTAAAATTTAAAAAATAACAATAGGTGAGGAGAAGGCTGAGATCAGCTGCCTACTACTGCAAAGTCAAATCTTTGCTGTTGTCAGACCCGGCTGTCAACTGAAGGAGACCGAGTTCCCTGGAGAAACAATCCTGCAAAACCACAGCAAGTGAATATTGTAGTGATTCCTTCAGTCCTTCCTCAAAGGAGATATATAGCTATTTATTCAGATAACTCTACACTGGAGTAAGGAAAATACCCAGATCTTTCTAGAGTTGTTGGATACACCTGTTTCCCCTGTTTCTGAATGTATTATTGGAATGGGCATACATAGAAATAACAGAACCCTCACATTAGTTTCTTGACCTATAGAATAAGAGCTACTACTAGTAGTAATAAAGGCCAAATGGAAGTCCCTGAAACTTTGTGGCCAAGATAATAAATCAAAAACCTATCACATTTTAGGGGAACAGCAGAGTTTAGTGCGTCCCTCAAAACTTTAGAGAATGCAGAGCGATGGTCCTTGTCATATTTCCATAATTCATAATTCACCAGTCTAGCCTCTGCAAAAAGTGATAGATCATATCAGATGACAAGTAGACTAATACAAATTTAATCAAGCAGTGGCTCCAACTATACCTGCTATGTCTGATACATCTTTCTAGAGGAGATTAACAGAGCCTCTGGCATGTGATGTGTAGCCATTGATCTGGCAAATGTGTTCTTTTCTATACCCATCTGAAAAGAGAATCACAAAGATGGGCAACAGTATACATTCATAGTCTTGCCCCACTGTCATGTTAATTTACATACTGTATGTCCTAATATAGTCCAAAAGGATAGGAACTGTTTGAATATTTTGCAGAACATCATATTGGTCCAGTATATCAGTACTATCACATTAATCAGATGTGTTAGGAAGTAAGTGGCAAGTACTCTGGATGCCTTGGTAAGGTATATGAACTCCAGAATGTGGGGGAGAAACTATACCAAGATTCAGAAGCCTAACACATCAATGAAGTTTTTAGGGGTTCAATGATCTGGAGCATTCCAGGACATTTCCTCCGAAGAACAGGCGATTGCACATTACACTTCTTGCCACCAAGACATATATTTGGTAGGCCTCTGGGTTTTGAAATACTGCTGTGACCCATATATCAGCAGATACAGGTTGGTACCTTTGATTGGGACCCAGAGCCAAAAAGGAGTCTGAAATATCAAGGCTGAGGTATGAGCAATGCTTCTGCTTGGGCTATATGAGTTGACAGATCCCATGATGCTTGAACTATCTGGGGTAGGGAACAACACTATGTGAAACCTCTGGCCACTACTTATCTCAAGTATATTTGGTCATTCATGTATTTCTAAATTTAATTGATTCAGGTTTATCTAATATGTGGTACCAAATGCCAGGCCCTGTCTTGGACACTGAAGACACAAAGATGTAATAAAACCTATTACCTGTGCTTAAGTAGCTCAAAGTCTAATCTTACCCTATTAGTATGCTCTTTGATTCATCCATTTGCCGCCAGTATTTGCTAGGATTCAAGTAGTAACAAAGAGAAGCCAGATGGAGAAAAACTTGCGAACAACTCTATTAACTAAAATATACTACAAATTGGGCCAAGACCATCATGATTTGAATAAGCCATATAAGTCATGCTTTAATAATAAAATTTCATTTACTGAGTGCCTACTATGTGCCACACAATTCATATACATTTATTTTCCCCAACAATTCTGCAAAGTATTATTATCTCTCACTCTCCACATAGAAAAATTGAGGTTTAGGAAGTTAAATAAATCATCTAAGTCGTGGAGTGGAGGAGGTAAGATTTGAATGTAAGGCCACTACTAGCACCTCAGATTCTCTTTTACCAATATACCATCCTACCTCATGCTACTGCCATGATCCATAGTAGTCCAAAAATACCTTACTCTATTCCAACTCTTTCATCTAACATTAAAATCCCATTTGTAGCTGTTCAGTGACAGTGAGTTCTTCAGAGCAATCGTTTCATCTATGATCAGGAGATTCTTGTAGAGAAAATTCAAATGTTCTCTCTCTGGGATCATTTAGTTGCAAGGAACTCAAGCTAGCTTAAACAAAAATTAATGGTGGCAGAGGGAGGCGTTTTAAGAACACAAACATCTCACTGGTAAGTTAGCAACCAAGGCACAGAAAAAGGACAGCTACGTATCATGGAGACAGGAATTTCAAGACCATTTTATTAGGCTCTTCTCTCTCTAAGGTTGTATAGCCTACCATTTCCACTCCACTTCATTCTTACCAGCTTCCAGGGCTTGCACATGACCCAATATTAGTGCTGTAGCCCCATCCTACTTGGCCTTTAAATTCAAGGGTCCATTATCATCTGACTCTGTCTTTTTTATTTTTAGTAGAAAATTCTCAGAAATTAATGGATTGGCCCAGCTATGGAGTAGATCTTGGATCAGTGTTCTATCCTTGGTCTGACCACCTGTGACTGCGGTAGAGTCACCTTGAAAACATGGTTGTCTGTTCTTGAGCTGGATCTGTGGATGTAAAACAATTTTAGAGGAGGTGTGAGCTGGGCTTAATACACTGTGGTAACAACCTTATGTAGAAAACATAAAGATGGAATGAATATCTTCTTCTTGTGTAACACTTAAACAGAGTCCATAGCACTTACCTGGCCCATGGTATGATCTTTTATTTTTTATATTTACTGTTTTCTAACTTTACTAAGTAACAGGGAGGCAGAGATTGCCTCCTATCCATCTCTGACCCCTCAGAGCATCTATCCAAGGGCTCTCAATACCACGGCCTTGGGCATAAAACTTGATGCTGGGGTCAACTGTGTCCATAGTGTGATGGGGTACACTTACATACTGTTGGCTGATCTCTTAAATATGGGGTACTAAGAGGCATGCTGACAGTTTTTTCTTTTTATTGTGATAAAATATACATAATATAAAATTTATCATTTTAACCATTGAGTACCCAGTTTAGTAGCATTAAATACATTCATGTTGTACAACCACCACTAACCATCTCCAGAACTTTATCATCATGTCGAACTGAAGCTCTGTACCCACTAAATAATAACTATTTCTCTCTCCTTCTTGCCTTTAGTAATCATTTTTCTGTCTCTATGAATTTGACTATTCTAAGATACCTCATATAAGTGGAATCATACAATATTTGTACTTTTGTGTCTGGCTTATTTCACTAAGCATGTTTTCAGGGTTCATCTTTGTTTTAGCAAGTATCAGAATACTTTTCCTTTTTAAGGCTGAATAATATCCCAATGTATGTATATACAACATTTTATTGATTCCTTCATCTGTTGATAGACATTTGAGTTGTTTCTACTTCTTGGCTATTGTGAATAATGCTGCTATGGACATGGGTGTACAAATATGCTCGAGTCTCTGCTTTTAGTATATATATGCTTTGGGATATACAGCTAGAGGTGGAATTTCTGGATCAGATATTTCTGTTTAATTTTTTGAAGAAGCATTATACTGACTTTCTCAGTGGCTGCACCATTTTATATTCCCACCAACAATGCACAAGGGTTCCAATTTCTCCACATCCTTGCCAACACTTTTTTTTAAAAACTATCTTAATTGGTGTGGAATGGTAGCTTATTGCAGTTTTGGTTTGCATTTCCATTTGTGGCAATTGAACATCTTTTCGTGTGCTTATTAGCTATTTGTATATCTTCTTTGGAGAAATGTCTATTAAGTCTTTTGCTCGTTTTTGAATTAGGTTGTTTTGTTATTGAGTTGCAGTTATTTATATATTGTGGATATTAATCCTTTATTAGATATATAATTTGCAAATATTTTCTCCCATTTGGTGGGTTGCATTTTTTTCTCTTAATAGTGTCCTTTGCTGCACGTTTTTAATTTTGATGTAGTCCAATTTTTTTTGACATAGTTCTATTTTTTCTTTTGTTGCCTTAGCTTTCGGTGTCATATCCAAGCAATCATTGCCAAATTCAATGTCATAAAGCTTCCTTCTAAGAATTTTAAAGTTTTAGTCTTTCATTTAGGCCTTTGATCCATTTTAATTTTTGTTTGTGGTGTAAGGTAATGGTCTAACTTCATTCCTTTACATGTGGATATAGTTTTTCCAGTACCATTTGTTGAAAATACCGTCCTTTCCCCCATTGAATGGTCTTGGCACCCTTGTTGAAAATCATTTGACCATACATGTAAGGGTCTGTTTCTGAGATCTCTATTCTATTCCATTAGTCTGTATATCTGTCTTTATGCCACGTTTTGCTTACTGTAGCTTTGTAGTAAAATTTAAAACCAGGAAGCTAGTCCTCCAACTTTGTTGTTCTTTTGCAACTGTTTTGAGTACTTGGGGAACCTTAAAATTCCATGTACAGTTTAGGATGAGTTTTTCTATTTCTACAAAATACTTTTTGGGGGTTTTGGTAGGGATTGCATTGAATCTGTAGATTATTTTGGATAGTATTTACCTCTTAACAAAAGTCTTCCATTCCATGAACATGAGATGTCATTTCATTTATTTATGTTCTTCCAGCAAATGTTTCGTATTTTTCAGTGAACAAGTATTTTGCCTCCTTGATTAAGTATTAATCAAGGAATAAATTCATCACTACCTTGTTCAAATTTATAGAGTATTTTTTTCTTTGACAAGGTATGCCTAAAAGGTGGAAACATTATGAGAAGAAACACCAATGTCAAGATCAACATACGTAACCTAAGAATTTTTGCCCAAATACTGCTATCAAAGATCCTGTCCCAGGTATGCAAAATATCCAATTGTTTATAAATCAACTCCTGAATATATACAAAAATTACCAATCCTACTTTAAAAAACAAAACAAACAAACAAAACCTTCAAACTTACCTCCTGAATAATCCTTAAGATAGGTTTGACTTTCAGGCTAATATTGAATGATACTTGATGAAGATATCTGTCTAGAGGCCACAAAAACATAATTTTCATTTCAATAGACATTTGTTGAGTGATATAGGGTGATGTTTAGAGTTTAGACTGTGGAATTTGATAGCTCTAGATTAGAATCCTGGTTCTCCTACCAATCATTTGTGTGACTTTGGGCAACTTTCCTAAACCATTTTTTGTTTTTCCTCTAAAAGTGGGATTATAACATCTGCCCCACTGTACTGTTTGGGAGTTAAATGACTCTTTTCAATAGTAAGTATTCAATAAGTGTTAGCTATTATGATCATGAGTAGATTATGTTGGGCACTATGCTAGATGATAGGGATAAAAGATGTCTGACATGCCACCTGCCATCAAGGTGTTCATGACCTAGATGGGAAAAGTATTTTAAAAAATAAAAAACCTTAATATTGTATTATAAAAATATGTGCAAAGGAATGGAAGCTTGAAACAATGGCATTTTTTTTAGCTTTGGTTGTGACAGCTCTTTATTCACTGGTATTGCATCTGAAATAGTTTTTGAAACAATTTTGTCAAAAGTAGTGAAATGATGACTGCCTTCTTTACCAAATATCTTGTGTATTTTGTGGGGCTCAGCAAAACAACTGAAAGTAACTCCCTGGCCTCACCAAGTCTCTGGGCTGTGAGAGAAATAAGGACACGTTGGGATCTGGGCTCAGAAGGATGTTGTCCATTGGCCAGTGCATGTTAACCCAGATCTTTTGGGTCTTTGTTGCATTGATCATGTACCACAAGTAGTGTGCATTGGCAGCGGCCTGCCTCAAAACCTTGGCTGGGTATGACATGCTCAGATGTGAAATTTAGATAGTTGGGCTCTATCTAAATAGAGTGTACTGGAAGGACTGGGGGAAGTAAATCATAAGCAAGACCAATGAGGAGGCTAAGATAATCCATGCAAACTCTATGTCGCAGAGCAATGCAGGTTGAACTGGAGTGCGACAATGTAGAATAGAGCTTTGCTATGCCTAGAACCATGAGCTCCTTTTTGCCATGGCTTGGGAGATAAAACACTTTAATGACCTTTCATCTTAATCATTTAGGGAGTTCTAAGGAACGCTGTTTGACTCAGGCACCATTTTACAGAGGAGAAAACTCAGGCTCAGAGAGCAAGGCCATCATTGCACTATTACAGGGGCACTATTCACATTGCATCCTATGAAAATGTTACCCTTGGAACTCCAAAAATATGAACGGTGGCCCCTGGAGTTGTGCACCATGAGCAGCCCTGTTGGAAAGGTGACTGTATGGTAGGTTATGGAATTGACCTCTATCTAAAAACCTGTGCATTTCCTACTATATACCATGCTATTACTTATTATGACATTTTATTTATGGATATATAGCATACTCAGGGATAAACAATTAAAACAAAGAAACATCTCATTATGGGTTTTCATAAGAACCTAGTAGGCTTCTTAAAATTAATTTAATGGAATCCCCATAAACACTAGTTATTTAACAAATCAAGGTGCTTGATGTATTCTTAAAGTATTATATAATAGGTAGAAATAAGGATAAAACAAATGTAAAGTTCCAACTATTTACTTTGGGCTCCCCCAAAACAGATAAATGAGAATATTTATAAAAACTGAAAGCACTAACCACAAAAATTAAGACGATGAATGAATTTTTTTACAGACATTTTTTGAATCATTCCAAAAACTTAAAGTGAATTTCCCCAGAAAATGCTTCTATAATTATCTTGGCAATAGATAACCTTAGTAAAGAGTACTCATTTAGTGACTACTTCACATATTTTTTTAAAAATAAACTATAATTCATATTTATGCCAAGAACAGTACAGTTTACAAAAGTTTTATCCATACTCTTACCTATGCCTACTCACTCTGAAGGCAGGAACACTTCTATGGGTTGAGTCAGGATCTCAATATGCTTTGTCCAGGTAAAGTAGAAGGTATGAAAATTCTTCTTAAAAAAGAATATTGGTTGTCTACAGCCATGCTACCCTGAACAAGCCCAATCCCATCTGATCTTGGAAGCTAACCAGGGTAGGGCCTGGTTAATACTTGGATGGGAGACCACCTAGGAAGACCAGGTGCTGTAGGCATAAAAAATAAAAAAAATAAGGGATTGTAAGCTGACAAGTTCCTTGCAATCTATGAGGTCAACCAAGGGTTGCCTTGATGAAAAAATTTAAAAAAAATTTTTTTTAATTAAAAAAAGAATAAAAAAGAATGTTGACTTATTGCACACAGGAGAGGCCAGCCATTAAGAGTTGTTGTCAACAGGATAAAAAGAAATATTGACCAGAGCTCCTCTGGGTGGGTAGTTAAAATGTGATCTAAAGGGAAAAAGAGGAAGAAGTATATAACCACACAAAAAGCTTTATGGGTACTGATAAAAACAGGCATCTCTGAAAAGATAAAATCACCTTCTTGAGAATTTTCAGAAATGGGGTTCACAGAACTACAGGAACAGAAGAAATGTTAAGATTTAGAAACATCTCATTTGACAAATGATAGATTTCAGAGTAGTTAGGTGACCTACTTAGAATCACATAGTTACTGCCAGAGTATGGACTAGTACCCAAGCCTACTGTCTTCAAGGTAATGTGCTATTTTTCATTCACTATACTACCTATCTCTTTTATGTCCCCGCCCTCTCTCTGCCTCACAATGTGTCCCTTGGGGACAGTCAGAGGAAAAGAATTCTGGACTATGTAGACCATTTAGAGCTCCTGATCTAACAATGGATGAAACATTATTTCAGATAATGACTGAGCTGAAATTCATTTGGGGGTGAGGAGTTGAGGGCAAATATAAAAGAAGGAAATTCTGTAGACAAAGACAAGCACAAGAGGAAATATTATCCTTTTGTTATTTTATCACTTATTTTATTTTGTAGTTAAGTCCATATATTATATAAAACATAACAGGAAAATGAATAAACTTATAAAATAAATCGAGGTGTTTAGATGAAAAAAACACAAGAGCTTTGTCTTTGTGTCTGTAGATCTCTCAATTTGTTATTGGTCTTGCACTTTAGATATCAAAGATATCTAGCTTGAAACAAAAGTTGATTTGCTGCAAGGTTAAGCCATAGTTAGTTTGATGATGGGCCAGGACATGATAGATTTTCTAAATCTTATTCTTAAATATCGGCTATAACAAATGCTGACATAGCAGAATGCAAGCTTTTATCAGACAGGAGAGAGAAACTTGAATGAATCAATGCAACTTACCTCCAAGTCCTCTGAAAGGAGGTGAAAAATAAATAGTGTTTTACCAGTGTTCTGCCCAAAGCATTACTCTAAGCATGCAGGAGGATGCTGTGAGCAGCTATAATAGTAAGATCCAATCTAGAGGTAGGTTCAAGGCCAAGAGCAGGAGTGTGGTTAAAGAAATCCTCCTGGGGCCAGTAACGTTTCATAGAATGCCCATTTGTGCTGGGGGATGAGTCAATGGCCTATTTTTTTCTGATTCAAAAAGGACACTCTCAACTTCAACCTTGCTGAAAAAGAGGCATTTTGCACCTGCTATTAAGAACAGCTAGGATACAGGATAAGGCTGGCATAAAATTATTTAGCAAGCACATGCTAGCTTTTCCAGTTTGAAATCTACTGAACTATAAAACCAAGGAGGAAATAAAAAGTTGAAGACGGAGCTGTTATTCCTCAAGATGAGGGAATAAAGTCTTACAAAAAGAGGGATTAGGCACTCACGTAACTCAGTATGGAGAACATCCTTCTGAGGCTAGGTGGAAGATGAGGAAGAGCATTACCAAAGGCTGACCGGGCCATTTGGAGACCAAAAGGAGAGGAAAAAGGGCATTTAGGAAGAAAACTAGTAGAAGAAATTCTTCTGGGTCTGACTAGGTAAGTGAGTCTAAGGCAACTGCACCAAAGATATGCTACCCATTTACACCAGCATGAAGCTGGGAAAAATATCTCAAAACCTTTTAAACCCAGAGAAATGTATAAAAAATGTTAACCGAGCAAATTAAAACCAAACCTCCAAGGATAAAAATCTCCTCAGATTTGAAATCCAAGAGACTCACTTTTCATTAATTCTGTACATTCATAGAAAAAAATAAAAGTAACAAATGTAAAGATTTGTTTTATTTCTACTGGGGGAAGGAGGATAAATAGAACTGTTTTCCAATTTGCTCTCCACTGTATACACACATACCCACACGCATACATAAACGTACACACACCAAAAATACCCAAACAAAAAAATGAAACAAAAAGCCAAGAATCAAAAATCAAAATACCCTCAAACTGCAACATTACTTCGTATTTTGACCAAAAGAAGAGATCCTGGGAGGAAGTGCAAAATGCAAAATCAAATGACCGAAAAATGCTGAACAAACAGCATTATTAATATACAAAATATTTATATTACTGAACTAGTAACAGTTGATGTTCTCCGTGTCTGTGAAACTTTGGAACCACATAGCTGATTTGTTAAAATCTAGTCCATGCCAGCTTCCAAAAACCAGAAAAGATTTTAGTTAGCTTCATTCTTTGATGCCTCATCAAAATTTTCCACGAGATCTGAAAAAAAAGTAAATGAATTAAAGATACCAAAAAAAGAGGTAAATAAGATTCCTAACTTCTAATCTCAATAAAACAAAACTACTGCTACTAGAATTAGCCTGAAAATATACAGGACAGAGGAAGAAATGAATTGGTGGCATTTTACTATCAATGCTTCATTTATCTGCTTAAAACAGTAATCCTAAAGGAAATGTTAGTCTTTTTTTGTCTATGCAAACTACTAAGGTAAACAGCATTTTCACATGTTAATTGAAATACCCACAGAATGTTTTAATAATAACTATACGAATTTATAATCACAGTGATTCCTTATTAATAAATGCAGGCAGCAGAGCTTTGTGTGACAATTTCTGATCCTAAGTTCTAAGTGGGAGGGCTTTTAAAAGTTCTTTGTCGTTAGCTCATATCCACATCATTGTGAATCAATTTAAACTCGTGAGCTACCATCAACCAAAAAAAAATGTAAGTCATTATGCAATGAATTAAATGAGATAAGCAAAATGCTAAAAATCTTAAAATTAAAGAAATGTCACTAACCTGGAACATCATCATCTTCCTCATCAATATCTTCTGGTTTTGGTGCTTTGCTATCCAACACTATGAAAAGTTTGTTTCAAGGTTAGTCATTGGGAACAAAGATGTCTACAGGCACACTTATACTGTTATATCCTTTTCTCCTGTGTAAATATAATATAGTTTTTCAGAAAAAAGCTAAATATTGTCTAATCTAACGCCATATTTTTTACTTAATACTAAAACCAATAAAACTTTAACTTATTAGATATACGCTAAATACGGCTGGCAATTTCAATGGGCAGTGATGGTAAAATTTATATGCAAAACAGAGTACTTCAGATTAGTTTGAATAAAAAGACATTATAGTTAATTTATTCTCCAAATAATAAAATCAATATTCAAGATTTTTTTCCATCTCTTTTGGTGTAAGAAAGTATACATCTATGTAGCACGAGCACTGAAATAATAGGCTCTGATTTTTAGGGGTGACAAGGCACATTTGCAACCAGAACTATCTTGGAAATTCAGAATATATGGTTGCTACATCTAGAGTACAATCACCAATATTAAAAATGTAGTTCTGTGGTAACACTATGTTCCTGTTATTAGTCAGAAGTGAGTATCAAATTGACTGTTTATAAAATGTGGCCTGCAGATCCTGGCACTTTCCTTTAGGTAGTAACTCTCAACAAAGAACTTTTAAAAGTTCTTTGTCGTTAGCTCATATCCACACTAAAATGTATCCAAGTATTCCCTATGCCACATTGCATAATTATTAAAGAAACAAATTCAAAAATTTCTGAAGCATACAAGTAACATTATAAAAGTAAAATATACATACATGCAAATCCTTCCAGTATAAAATGAGACACCTTTTAAATCAGTAGGTTCTTTAATTAAGGCAGGGAGGAAAAGAAGTACTAAATTAAAATACCAACCTTGCCGAGGGAACTGTTCAGCTAACTTCCTAAGACTTGTTAAGCTGTCAGCACCAAGTTGACTTAATATTCCAGGAAGCATTTCTGTGATTGGCTTGGCTTCTGCATGACCGGTAATTGCAAAGGTGTTAGCAGAAAGGGAAGCTTGGACTTTGGGATTGTTGAAATGAATAACTGTCCCATCATCTTTAATCATGTTTACCTGTAGATCATGAAAGAAAAATGTACTTCACATATTAGGTACAACTAAAAGTATCGTTTTAAAAACAATTTCACCAATTATGTTTTTTTGCTTGGTAGTTATGTAATTCCAAGGTAGTAATTATCTAAGCTGTGCATATAGGTGGAAAAAGACCCTACCAACAAAGTAAATGGTATAGATGGCACAAATTACTAGAATGGTCAAAGAATCTAAATTTCAAATTCAAAGACTTCTACTACGAGAAAAAATTTCATGCCCACATTTTTAAAAAATGTAATAATCAGCCAATAACTGGCTTCTTAATGAAATGCCCATTATCTTACTCAATTTATACTATCAATACAGACACCATTTGGTGGGTAGCATCTTACTTAGGGGGTGGGTTGTTAATGGGATAAGAGTGTATGGTAAAAATAACCACTGAAAATCCATAAAGAACACTCAGAAATTTAACCAATCAGTTGTTTCATTCCTTTGAACAGTTAGTAAACTTAAAGATTTCAACTTGTTCTCATCATGTCATTTTGTAGATTTTTGTCAGTTCCTGTAATACTTAAATATTGCTTCTCAATAACTTTCAATAATCCTTGTAAAATAAATGTCAAAGAAGCTCTCCCACTCAACTTGCCTGTCCACCTGAACATACTTTATTAATTACTGGGAAACTTTTAAAACCATCTTCACATTCTTTCTAAAGGTTTCATCAATATGAACCGACTGTTTCAAGGTTGATTTAATCTATTGCCTGGGACTTACTGAAAAGGTTGAACATGAGCTATTTAAAATGTTATTTTTCTTTCTCGCTTTCTGTGTTTTAGTAGAGTTGAATTTGCATAAGTTAAATGTGTAAATAATGTGATTCCACTATGTAGCTGACTCCACTGGATAAGTTACCTTGGTGGTAACATGCTTATTACATAAAAAGGTTAGGAGAGTTAATTCTTGGCTACTTTAGAAGCATTTCATGATCCATCCAAAAACTGCCCTTGTCACAGTCAAGCAGAGATGCTGAGTGTTCTCCATGGTAAGTGGAAGTGGGCTTTTCTTCCTCAGAGGTGATCACCACCACTGATAGCACCAGAAAGGAAGGGGAAGAAAGGGGGTTCTAAATTTCAGGCAAGACCTGGAACACAGAGAAAATAAAGGCAAATCCCCTGGAAAACTTAACTAAACCCCACAAATAATTTCCCCAATTTTTTTCCTGACAAAAATCACTTTCAATTCTCTACCCTCCCCTCTCTGAGCATTGTACTTGAGGTTCTATTATGTATATTACACACAGTAAGCATTCAATCAGCTGTCCCAAACAAATATTGTGAGTTAAAAATACTTTACATTAACTTTAGAAAAAGATAAATTATAAAGTTCTGAAGATAATTATAGTTAAATTAGAAAAGTTTAGTATTAAAGTGGCTAAAAATCTTGGAGAGGAACAGCTTGAGAAGGAGGCAGCGTAGTAGATATGAAATTAGATGTTGCTCTGGATCTATCCTAGAATCACATAATTTTAGTCTGGGAAAAGAATAAAGACACAGTAGGACTATATTTTCCAAATCAAGACCAAACCATATAATTTAATAAAGGATTTGTACAATACTTCCAGGTATGAAAAGAGTCTCAAATATTGGAATTTGAGATTTTTAAATTTCACAGACGTTCAAATCACAGATTTGAAATCAATATTATACCAAAAAAGTCAGGCCGCATATTTGTCTTTTATTGGTTTTTTTTTTCCTTGCCCATGTTATTTGTTGAACTTAGAGGTCTTCTAGTTCAAATCTGCTGTTAAAGAAATGAATACTAAAGACAAGAGCTCTTGGTTAAGCAACATACTCAAGGACAAATAGCTGGTTATGTGTAAACCCAGAACACAAACCTGGGTTTCACAACTTTGTTTGGTTTCCTTCTTACAATGTCATTCGTATTCTTAAAACATTTATTTGCCTATAAAAATTCAATTCTGTGGCCCCATGAAAGCTTGCTAGAGAATTATTTATCTCAGAATATAGGCTAAAAGGAGAATGCAAAAGAAAAACAGCACAGATATATGGATATATATATATCTTCTTGGCTACAAAATAAATAAGAGGCTAACACGGAGCCAAAAGGAACAAATTCATGAATTTTCTTTCTGTTCAAGCTTCTTTTTCAAGGCCTAAATGTTAAGTTATATTTTATGTCCTGATGTTGGTCTTTGTAGTATGAAATATGCTATTTGAGTTTAGTGTGAAAAGCAAGATGAATTCCATCTCAGACTGTGAAATAGAAATAAATGTATTAGATTGTTTTAAATGGAGTTGTATAAAAGATGTAGCTTCATGAATAAAAAGGTCCAGAAAGGGGTAGAGAGTTTAATTTTAGAATAGACAATGAAATACTAGAAGTTTAAAGGCCAGAATATTTCATTTCAATCTAACATTCCTTCCTCTCTACTGAGCAAATGACATGGTTATATAAAGCTCCTAGACACAAGCTATTAGAAACTATCAAATGATGAATTGTTGGGCTACTCAGTTAAGACACTTCTCCTACTCTTTTAGAGGCAAAAGGGATAAGGAATTTGTTAAATTCACAAAGCAAATTTGTGTACATTTTATAGAGAGAATTCAGTTATTCTAGTGATTTTGCTTATGTTTGGTCTAAATAAGTCATATAATCTTAGATGGTATAAGGACAAGGAGCAGACAAGTAAACAAAGACTATTTAAACCAGCTATTATACTGGCATTCAGGTCCCCTTTTCAATCAGTCAAACAGCCCCTTTATGTCAAAACGTTTTTCCACTTAACAGGTAATTGAAAGTAAGGATGCTACTTGAGCAATTGGAGGAGGCATTTTTGAAAACCCAGTACAAAACAGCAGATGCCCTTGCTCTTATTTTTTGTTCTAACAATACTGACATGTCTTGTAGTTACCAGAAAGTATTTTGTCCTCTCATGCCTAGTGCATTTAGACATGCAGTTTTCACTGTTTAGAAGAACCTTTTCCTGCTTCTCCACCTTGCAAATTCCCATTTATCCAAGTCCTGGGTCAGATGCTTCTTTCTCTGTGAAAACTTAAGGCTTATAAACCTGCACTTCATGCGATTTACAATTAAATATAATTGTTGTAGTATAATTGTATTTACAAGAAGGTAAACTTCTTGAGGTCAGAGACCACACGTTACTAGACATAGTATCCCCCAGGTGTCCAGCACGTAAGTCACTCAAATTTGCTGAATGAAAGGACACCTCCTATACAATTTATTCTAAAGTCATGGATACTATCAGACCTCAACTCCAAAATGCTAGATGAGGGGTCACCTCACGGTTTAGAAACATCACCAGTAATGCTCCCATTGAAGATGCCCAGAACTGGGGTATATCTTTGGCCTGACTTTTCCTATAGTTCTGAGCTTTCAGAATTAGCCCAACTGTCCTACAGAATTTAGGGCCAATTTAAGTCATTTGAGGCAATTGCTGGGTGGCACCATCATGTTGCTATCAAAACTTTAAAAAACCCTGCTTTTGCTAGCCTGTGAGTCAGGCACACACATTAATCACAGCAGCCTTCTATCTGGCAAATCTGAAGCTTTAGTTCTACACAGCAGTAAGTTTTTATGGCTATAGGAGGCTTGCAGTTATACTTGACTCCATAGCTCTTGCTGACAACTACCTTCTCAGTTCAGAGAGGTTTAAATTTTTGTGATTTTTTTTTTGTATCCCTACTAGGCCAGGTAGCTGCAGTTCTGAGAATTGACAGTTGTCTTACAATCAATTTACTGCCACTGCTTCCTATATGTAGTGGCACCTTAAATGTTTATCAGAAAATTCATTTTTTATTGCCTTCCTCCTATATCTTAATGGAGTGAAATAATAGACATTTTAAGAATAAGGCACATAACTATCTGCGGTTTTGTGAGGCTAAGGGATATCATATTTTGGATTATGGGCTTTGCACATATTCCCTTAAGTCAGTATCTTTCTCAATCAATCCTTCTAAGCTCAGCACCTGCTTATTTCTAAAGGCTAGTATAAAGTATAACCTATTATCATTGATATAAGCTAACACTAAGAACTGTCATTACACTATATGATATGCTGGGATCATTTTCTCTTATACTCTGGTGGCAAGAGCCTGATGAGATGAATTCTCTACAGCTATGCTGTAGATAGTGTAAAATGGCATACCTTTCTGAAAAGCAATTTGGCAATATGGACGAAGAGTTCTAAAAATGTTCATGCTCTTTCAGCCAGTAGCTGCATTTCTAAGAATCTATCTGAAGGAAGTCAGAGATGAAGGTAACTATTTATATACATAAAAGTCCAACATGTGATTCTTTTATTATCAAAGCATTACAATGTATAATAAAGACATGTTAAATTATGGTTATATGATATATTGGAATATACGTAGCCATCTAGACGGATGATTAAGAATATTTTAACAATATGAAACAATTTTTATAACATGCTATTTGGGGGGAAAAATGGTTCCAAATTGTATATCTAGCTAGTCTCAGATATGTTTATGTACATATATAAAAATATATGCATACAAAAATGGGAAAGAAATAAAAGACTAACAGTAGTTATTTCTGGGTAATGGTATTATGATTCAATGTTTGTATCTTCTTCATAATTTCTACATACCCTAATTTTCTACAATGACAATATACTTTTATATTGAGGGAGGTAAAAATTCTTTTAAAACAAAAGATGTTCATCAACAGATGAATGGATAAAATGTGGTATTATCCATACAATGGAATATTATTCAACTATAAAAGGAGTGAAGTTGATACATGCTACAACATGGATTAACCTTGAAAACACTATGCTAAGTTAAGTAAGCTGACATGGAAGGACAAATATTATATGATTCAACTTATACAAAATATCACAATAGGCAAATCCACAGAGACAGACAGTAGGTCAGACATTATTTGGGCTGAGGGAGAGGGAAACAGGGAGTTACTGCCTAAAGGGCATAGAGTTCCTGTTTGGGATGAAAAATTTCGGAAATAGATAATGGTGGTGGTGGTTTTACAATATTGTGGTGATATATATATATATATCACCACAATAAAAATATAGTAAAAAAAAAAAAAGGGCAGGAAATTACAAGATAAAGTGAGACTGGTTTGGAATAAGGTGGATGGGTCATAATGTTTCCCTTTTACTTTTCTATACTCAGCTGTCCACCCATCAGCACTTGAGTTGGAGGAAGAAGGAACTGTGGTAAGAGTTAACCAGTAACTTTAGGTACCCTTTCTGTACAAGTGGTTCAGGAAAAATAACCAGGAAAAGGAAAATATAAAACTTAGGTGTACAATTACAAAATTTACATTCCTAGCCCTGAGCTTTCTTCTGAGCTCCAGCTCCCTACAGCTAACTTCTTGCAGAATAATTCCTCCTAATCAGTATCTCAAACTTAAAAGGCTCAAGACATTTCAACATAGGAGTCGGCATGCTATAAATAATAAATAAAAATGGTTCCTGTTGTCAAGACTCTTATAATCTACTGAAAACAGACTATTTGGTTAATAAGTAACCATTATACGCCACAATATGAGGTTGTAATAATAAATGTATTATAGCAGAGCAATTTAAGCTAAGGGCAGTGTAAGTACAGAGAAAGGATTAATTATGCTTAGAAAGACAGGGAAGGTTTCATAGAGGCAGAATTATATCCTAGTTAAGAGAGAAGCTGTCCTCTGAATATAATAGTAAAAGTCTATGCAGCAACTAGGCCATATGAATCAGAGATTCAGATTTTTGGTGACATTTCACCAAATAACTTATAAAATCAATTGTTTCTGAGAAATGGAACAGTTCCTATTATTGATTCATGTTATCGGGGAAGAAAGGTGACAGCAGTCACTATATCCAACTAGATTACTAAATAAGCACATCCAAATATCTTCAAATGCACAAAACATAAAACATTTCCAGAAATTCAGTCCTGGGTTATACTCTTGGAATGCACCTAGGAATTCCTTCCTAAAACCTGGTCATTTACTTGATTTTGTATTGAAACAGTCTCTGAGACTCCCCTGCCCATTACTTTGACAGCTTTGGATTTATCTGTCTTTGGTAATATGTAAAAGAAACCTACATATATTATAACTATTACACCAAATCAACAAACTATTGAATAAATAAAAGATCAGAGAATCTTGTCTCAATCCAAACAGTCCTTCAGTTTTTAAAGTTTCTGAAGAGGACATAAATTAAACGTTGGGAGGGGGAAAAATCACCAATACTGAAAGTAAGATTAGAACTTGGCAAAGTCCATTCAACAAGTTTTTGAAACCCATCACTGATCTCCCTGCTCCACACCCACCAAACTGAGTAATTTCTACTTTTTTGATGTTTTGAAGGTCTAAGTACAGAAAACGTAGTAATATTATTTGGCAATGGTGTCTTCTCTTTTCAAAAGTTTTTACCTGCTTTTCTTAAACTGCCAAAAAATAAAAAGATAGTATATTCTTCAGAGTTCAGTACTTTGAAACAAGTTTAAAATATCCCAAATTAAAAAAAAATTATAATTAATGTTATTTCATCTAAGATATTTTTTCACATCTTGTTTATGAAAATTGTATGTTTTCATGTATACATTTAATGCAAATTTCTTTTTCCCAATAGCTGTTTTTAAACCAAGTATGTATCATCACTTTCTTTAAAAAAATTGAAGAAAAATTTTACTTTAGCGTAATATTAAATATGCTTGAAGCAAGCCAGATTATATATAGCATACTAGATATTCCTAAACAAAATTATTTTAGATCTGCAAAGCATTATATGAAGTAGAAATATCTTAGTTCTCAAAAACCATTTTAGAAAGAGAGAAAGAAAAATAAAAATTCTCCCTAATTTTACAGCTGTTACTTTGCATTGTTAATGATCTTTATGCATATTTCCTCTGGACAACTAGTTGGTGAGGGTTGGAAGACAGCATATACAGGGAGACACTCAATGAGAGTGTATACTTGCCTATAATGTACCATTTTCTGTGTAATGTTCAGGAGCTATGACTCCTCAAAAACTTAAACCTGTAATGGCAATACTAACAAAAAGAAATTCATAATTCAGTTTAATAAATGTCATAATAAAAGTAAATACAGGGCATTATGAAGCACATAGGAAAGGCACCTAACCCTTCTTTGCAAAAATGTGTATGTGTGCTACCAGGAATGCTTGAGAGGAAATAACATCTGCATTAAGACCTGAAAAAGGAAAAAGATCTGAAAAAGCAACGTCCATGGAAACACTGATGGGGATTTCTTTAATCTATAATGTAAATAATGAATTCTGTGTAGCAGGTGTTCAATAATACAAGACATAAAGCAGGCAAGTACTTCCTCTTTCTTTGGTGAGGTGGTACCACAAATAGTATTGATAATTCAATCTAACTTACGGCAGTGAAAATTTAAACATTGGTAACTATCAGAAATAGGATCTTTAGGCAGAAGTGGATCTATATGGTAAAAGATCACAAATAGTTAATGTTATAATTGTTCTTGTGTCTTTTGAAATAACATCAACATTTGACTTCATATTTGAGAATAGTAGTATCATCAAAATATAATAAAATGATTTTTTAAAAATTTAACCAAATATTTTTGAGAGAGGACTAGTAAGAAATCCAATCCATGGAAAGCTATTGCTAGAGCTTCTTGGCTGAGGTAATAATTAGAAAGACTTTGTAGAGTAGAATAGTGGGAAAATGGGAAAAAAAAATCCACCTTTTTTGAAGAAATCTTGGAGTTTATTTCTATATTATTTAAAATAGTCTTTTATTTTACATTAAAATTCAAGATCAGTTCCATAATTTTGTCATACGTGAAAAACTTTCAGTCTGAAAACTATGATGAATTCTTTAACTGTCTACTAAAATCATTTTTTGGTCAATCATCCAATTTTATACAGTAAGCAAATTCAACAGCTATAGTCCACCAAGACATCTAAGTGACAATATCGGATTCTTCTAAACTGCTGTTTTACGTTTGAAAAGTGTAAATAATTATTTGTGAATATGCTTTTTGTCCGCATAATTTAACAGTTTACAAAGTGATCATACCTCTTCGATACCAGCTATGTTATTCACAGCCAGTTTTTTTAGAGAACTCTGAAGTTTTTTGTCATCAGCTGTCGCTGTTCTATGTACCACCTTCTTCTTTCTGCGAGCTGTACCCTGAAAAATAATTGAACAGAAGGGTTTAGCATGGCTTGCATCTGGCAACTGTAATCACATGTCTTCCTATCCACAGTACACTAACTAAAACCCACATAAATTGCTGACTTAATAGTAATGATTAGTAAGACTGATCAGAGTTGTATTTGTCAGCCTAATCCAGATTTTTGAAGGTCAGTTCTAGCCAGTTCTTATTTTATCCAATACCTAGCCTTTATCATTTCAATATATTTTCAAAAGTTTTCTAATAAAAAATAATTTATAACTTCACAGCAATTTAGTGTGCTTTATAACAACTTTCAAACATTATAAGGGATGGTTTTTTTTTTTAAACAGTACCTACCATCCCCTGACAATAAAATCTAAAGATATTCTAAAACTTTGGAGATTATGACATAATTAAGAATCAGATGCCTACTATGTGAGTGTTCTAGAGCCTAGAATCCAGTAATGAAAAAGATCAAGTTCTTTCTTCAAAGGGCTTACATTACAGTGAGAAAGTCAATAAATATATAAACAAATTAGATCATTTCAAATGGGGCAACAGTATTAAGAAAAAAAATAATAACAATGATAAAGAGTATTAGGTGAGAGCCAAGCACTACTTTATTAGAATGTTCAGGGAAGGTCCCTCTGAAGAGATGACATGAGCTGAGACCCATGGGAAGATCTAGGGGAAGAGTGATCCAAGCAGAATGAAACAAGAGTGAACCTACTGTGTCTCCAGAGAGAAAGTAGGCCAGTATGGCTAGAGCAGGGTAAACAATGAGAGAGGAGGAGGAAAATGAAATCAGAAAGATAGGCAAGGGCCAGGTCATGTAGCCTAGAATGCCACAGGCAGGAGTTGGATTTTATTCCCATTGCAATAGGAAGCCATTGGAGGGTTTTAAGCATAGAGATGACTTGATCTGATTTCTGATTTTAAAAGATGACTGAGGTTGCTGTGAAAAATGAACTATAATGAGATCAATCAGGAAGCTACTATACCAGTCCTGATGACATGAGGGCTGTGGCAGTGGAGATGGGGAGACTTCATAATATCAGAAGAACAAACATGACTGGATGCAGGATATGTGGAAAAAGGGAATCCAGAATGATGCTTAGAATTGGCCTGAGTAAAGACGTTGAAAAAATATACTATTTGCTGAGATAGAAAAAGCCTATTTCTAAATAGATATTTTGAAACTCTAAATATATTTTTCCACTGAACAACTATTTAAAATAATGGATAAAATTCCTGGGCCAATTTACAAAAATGAAACCTAAAGCAGAACTGAAACACTAACAAAAGCAGCCTAGTCTTAAGGGCTAAACCTTTTTTGAGACCTGGCAGGAGTAAAGAGAGAAAAAATGGAGATTTCTGCCTCTGGGCAGCTCCTGCAGTAGTACTCAGCCTTACTGGGGGTAGACAGAGGCTTCAGTTTCAGCAACTCTAGCGGGGGTGGGGGTGAGAGAGGGAAGAGCTCTGTCAGTAGCAGCAGAGGTTTAACGAAATTGTTTCTGAAGTATGGATTAGAAGTGACTATTTACATGGACGGTCATTTATTTGGGAATGTTCCTGACTTAGGGATAGCTCAATTGCTTGCTGGATACATCAATTCAAATGATCCTCAAACACTTCAAATTTCAACATGTCTATAAGCTTATCAGTCTACCAAACTATTCGTCCTATATTCCTAAGTTTTGTAGCTGGCAGTACCACCGTATATTCAGTCTCTAAAGCCAGAAATATGGAGGTCATCCCAGACTCTTTTCTCTCCCCTTCATCTCCCATATTCCATCAGTCAATTCCAACTCAGAAATCTGTGTCCCACATATTATGGCAATAGCTTCTCAATTTTCTCCTCTATGCAAACTTCTATTTAATTTCATTTTCAACATTGCCAGCAGTTACTTTTCTAGAATGACTGTTACTTCCTCCTTAAAATCTTTCAATAGTTGCCCCTTGCCTATAGGATAAAAGCCTAAACTCCTAGTATGGCATATAAGGCTATAATACAACCCCAAATTACCTGGTTTCCTACCATTCTATATTCATTATATACTCTAAACTATAGCTATACCAAAGTAAAGCAAACCATTCCATTTAAGCACCATGTTATCTCAGCATTTGTGCCTTTTCATGTATGAGAATGAGTCCCTTTCCAACCTACCTTTACCCTCTCACCTGTCTACCTGGTGATAAATCCTTATTCTCCAAATCTCAGCTCAGTGATGACTTTTTTGTCTCCTCTACGCCAAGAACACCTTGTACTTCATTTTTTAAATTTACTATTCTGTAGTGTAAGTGCGAGCATGTCTCTCTTTCAAGCTGGGTCAAGAGCAGGAAACCTTGACTTGTTTATCTGCTATGTGCTTGGCACACAGTAGGTGCTCAACAAATTAGTTAAATGAATGAATGTGCCAACTACCTCGTTTAAAATATATATAATAGTGATGTGCTGTATCAAGCTCTTCAGGTATATTCTATGGTCCCTAGTTTTTGCACTGGAACATTATAGTATATTCGATGCTACAATGCGACTACTTTAGTTACATGAATGTGTTACTATGATTCTAATGTCATATAACAGTATCACTATGAAAGAAGGAGAAAGTACTAGTCATTACTTCTCTTTACCCTCTCCTGTCCCCATCACCAGGCGCTGTGGTTATCATCAAAGAAAATGACACAATGGGGCTGCTACATAGTGTCCTACCTACCCCTCTCCCCAAATCTGAGGTAAGCACTATTCTTGCTTTTCCTTTTGCAAAGGCTGTATTGGGCAGAGATAAGGGTAGAATATTCTCCTTGAACCTAGGGCCAGAGCTAAAGGGAATCTAAGATTTTTGGTGCTCAGAACGAGCTCTTCCTCAGGCTTCAAAATACATACAATAAGAATGCTCATGTTCATATAGAAAGGAATTTGGGAGGAAAACCTAGCAATGAACATGTACCATCAGCTTGAGCATCTCCAATTAAACCATTTATAAACCTAACTGTAGCAGTAAGTGCATCCAGTCAAGAAGAGGTAACCTTAACATCTGGAATGCCCTGCAGGTGAGTCTAACATAATAATAGCTATTATTTATTAAGTATCTACTCTGTGCCAGCCACCATGTCAGGTATTTTATAAATAGTACTCTAATCTTTAGAAGCATCTTATGTAGGATTACTTCTGTTTTGCAGATGTGAAAACGGAAGTTTTACAAGGGTGGATAACTTGTTCATGTCACATAACTACCAGAAGTTAAGAGGATTCAAACAAAGGTGGCTATTTTCATTGCACCATTAGAGAGCGAAGTCTTCTAGTTTTCTATTTTAGACTCAGACAAGTTATTTTCAAATTGGAATGTGGTTTGATCTGGATTATTGAAAAGATTTTAGATTGTCAGTGACCACAAATCCAAAATAATAATAACAATTCTATCTGATAATAATACATTCGCCTATCAATTTTTCTTACGCCACACTCACCTTGCCCCCTATCCGGACCTGAGCCTGAAGTTTGGCTAACTTTTCTTGATTCATGCTGTTGGTAAATCTAGGGGGGGAAAAACAGATTTGTTAAAGTCACTGTTTACCAAAATAAAATAACTGTTTATGCAACAGTACCTTCTGGCTCACTGAGCTTATAGTATTTATCACCACCATGATCATTTTAATACTGTCTATATTCTTAATAAATATTAATAACTTTTCTAGCTTCATAAACCAGACATTAAAAGAACCAAATTAAATAATACCACAAGGGAGTCAAATATACAAATAGAAAATAAAATGAGATTCAAAGTTACCTATTTGAAGATCCCTTCCTAAAAGCATAATTTGGTACTCTGGCATTTTGTAAAACCTAATCCATTATAAATTCTCTGTAGGCAGGCCAGTTTTTCCCTCAAAAACCTCTACAGCAGAGAGCTGTTACTAAATGTTATTAGCCCAACCTTTAAGTAGACTTTTTTCTCCCAAAACACATTCTGTATTTGTAAATCATAAATAGAAGACCAAAAAAAAAAAAAAAAGACAAATTCAACAATAGGCCGTCTAGCTGTCAAGATATGAGTTAGTCATGTCCTCTATTCAAGGTCAGATGATATGTTAATAATAGGGAAACAGCCCAGATTTTCAGACGTTCAGCACTTCCGCACTTTCCACAGAGTTCATTCAATACCTTGCACTGATATAGTATATCATACTTGTTAAGATATTCTTGCATACAGGGTAAAAACCTCACTGCACAATTTGACAAAAACATATCTCTGCTATATAATACTAAATTTTCTAGAGGGCAGTGGGGAGAAGGCAAGGAGAGTCTTAAATATAAGCTTTTTAAGGCTAATCTTAATTTTGAAAATTCTGAGAACATATAAAGTCATGAATTCTAGTCTGGTAATTTTTACTAAGGGAGAAAAGTCCTTACATTTATAATGGGTCATAAAATTCCATAGTCTATATACAAAAAGAAGCCAATGTCTTGTTTTACTTGTTCTGTGGATCAACAGATCATTACTGATATGTGAGAGATGGAATAAAGGACAAGGTGGTTAGCAAACCTTTTTTTGGCCAATTCGCTAACCTCTTTATAATCATTCAGATGAAAAAAGATTAAATAGAATCAAAGATTATATAAGTACTAAACATTCTGTATTCTGACACCATACTTAGGCACTAAGTATATACCTCTGTATATACCTCTGCTTTAAGGCCACATAAAGTCCAGTTCTCAAATAACATTGAGAATTTATGATTCCTTAATCTTCGCTCAGCACTCTATCATAATGCTCAAGCAGCTAAAAACACTCTTCTAGGAGGAAATGTGATTACAGTACAAAACCAGTAGTCTTAGGTGTGTACCAATGTCAACTTGCCATAGACTTAAATTTGCTTATGTAAATCCCAATTTCTACACTTAATATTCACAGAAAAGGACCAATATTCACTTTTCTCAAAGGAATTGACCATAAAGGTGTAATGAACTAACAAAAAGCCTAAGGACTTTTTTTTTTGGTTTTGGGGGTTTTTTTACAAAATAGGGACTAAGTGAAAATACTAGAACTAGATACAGGGTAAACCTTTTGGGACTCTTCTGCATTTTGAGGTGACAATCCCTGAGAAAAGATGGAAGAGAAGAGGTGAAATCAAGATAGACTCCTGACTTCTTTAAAAACAAATGCAACAAAGTTAACTTTTTATATCAATGCGCAGATGAAAGAACAGATTCCATTACAGGTAATCAAGACAACAGAGAACTCGTTCCCAAAGAGTATCTCAGAGAAAAAGAATTTTAGCTAGGTTCGAAGCTCAATGGGGTAGGGGAGGAAGAAGGGTGGTCCTTTGACTACTAATCCTGTTGGGGTGTGTAGAATTCAAGTAGGAAAGAGGATTAGATTCTATGAGAGAAGATATATCAAGCTCAGAATCTGGACTAAACCTTAAAGATCACCTGCTTTAATTCCCTATTCCTCAGCCAACCTGTACTTTACTGTCCTGTATGTGAGGCCATCTCAAATACCTGCAAGCAGCAGCAAGGTATAAATTATAAACAAATAAAAGTTTATTTCTCTCCCAATTAATAGATTTACCAATGGGGGCCCAGAAGGAAGTCACTTCCTAGGACTAAAATGGAGAATTAACTTCCTAAGGCTATATGATTAATGAGTTCTTCCCTGGGGATCCTAGAATCTTTCAGCCCTTCCCTCAAGGACTCAAGAAAGGGTGTAAATAATGAAGTTTTAATCAATATTTACTGAGTGCCTAAGTTCCAAGGATTATGTTAGGCACTTTCTCACATACATTGTTTAGACAGATGAAATAATTTCAACTTTTAGTCCTGACTTTTTTATTATGTGGGGTTTCTCTAAGGAGAAACACGGGCTTTGGAATCAGAAGGATCAAGGTTCAATCACTTAGGGTTTCGGAAAGGTATTTTACTTCTCTGGACTTGTGTTCCTTATTAGAAAAGGTTTACCACCACATACTTCTCAGGGTTGTTTTAAGGGTTAAAGGTTAAGTTATCAAGCACAGGGTATATAGCTCGCAGTAGATACTTAAAAACTGGCAACTATTGTTACCACTTATGAGGGGACATCTATGGTATAGTGAAAGAACGTGGGAACGGAAGTGGAAACCGCCATTCACTAGTAACACTGTGCCTGTCGGTCAATTATCAATTTCCTGACAGCCTACTAAGCATCAAGCAGTGTGATGGGGCTATGAAGATGGGCAAGACAACGTCCCAGAGTGCGAGACCAACTTGTAAACAAATACTGCCATTTCGAGATGAAGAGCACTGCAACATAATTTGGCCCCAAGCGCTAGGGCCTGGGGGCTGCGAACCTCTGTTTCCCTGTTTGTAGGGAAGGATCAAATGAGATGACAACAGACAAGCTGTATAAAGCTCAAAGCTCACAGCATTGCTGTTGTGAATATTGACGAGTAACAGGACAGAGGCGGGGACGGGATCTGGGTGGCAACAGCGCGGGCCCGCTCGCCCCCACAAGGGGCGGTGGTGCTGGGGACTTTCCCTCAGGTGCCGACCCCCAGCTGCGCCGCCGGTAACCGACAGGCTAGCCGCCTCCGCCCCCACTTGGCACGCCACGGCGGAAGTGGCAGCCCGAGCGGTTAGCGGGTGTCGGAAGAAGAGGGCGGGGGGAGACCGTGCGCAGCGGCATATGGCCTTGAAGTGGCGGGACCGCCGGGGGTCTCACCTGAAGCAGGGAGGGTCCTCCAACACCAGCACGCGGCAAGAGCAAGATGGCTGCCTCAGTCGAGACAGAGAAAGACGACGGCAGCGGCGGCGGCGGGAGCAGTACCCACGTGACACAGCCGGCCCTCACTAGAGCAGCCTATCCAGGGAGAGCATTCGCGAACTACAAAGCCCAGCGTGCTCTGTGCCTCCCACTAGAAAGCCGGCAGGTGCAGGTGGCCGCGCTGCATTCTGGAGCTTGCAGTCTTCCGAGTGTCCCATTGTGTCCGTGCCTATAATATTGTAGGGAGACTAATAAAGGAGGTGTGTATTTTGGTTTGGGCCTGTACTTTGTCAGATGTCTTTCACCAGGCATTAAGTAAGCGCTGTTGGACTCTACCGGAGTGGACTCAATTAGTTTCCACGCAGGAGGAGAGACGGAAAATTTTGACCTGTTATGCATCAGAGAGGAAAAATTGAGGTGAAACACTGGACTCACAGCTTAAAAACAAAAATAGATTTAACCAGAAGAAGCTTTACGCTTTAAATGTCTGCAGTGACTTATGTCCTGGTTCCCTGAAGAAGCTAGGTCAATTTTGCAACAAGAGATACCATATTTGGTTTTCTTGGAGCTTGCATCAGTTGGTTGCATAATTGCATAATTCCTGAGTGGAAGAATTGCCGTTGCAAAGAAAAATAAGGTCCAGCGTTTGTCCAGCAGAAAGAGGGATTCTTGCAAAGCACGGAAACCAGGCATCGCAGAACAGGTTTGCCCAGGTCTCTTCGAGACCCGAGCAGGAACCTAAGAATAAAATCTGTTTTTGTCTAGTCAGTTATAATTGCGGCAGAGTAAGTGGGACCCGAGGTCAACGGGCACCCCGCCTACAGTTTGGAGCTGCTGACTTCACGGATCAATAATTTGCATTGTGGATATTAAGTGCAGCGGTTCTTGGGGGCGGGGCTAGCCTGCTGGCGGACGCAACCAGCAACGGTTCTCAGGTCTCCTCCCCAACCCCCACTAGCTCTGCCCACCTTTCTGTCTCTCCGCCCTCCGACTGAACATCCAGAATTGGGGTGAGAGGAAGCAACTTGCGCTCAAGAACAACACCAGTACCCTTCTACGTGATCTGCACCTTTAAACTCACTCGGTCCCAAACCGGACCCCGGAGGCACCACCCACATCCGTCTAACATCACTTCCTTAAAGGCTAGAAAAAAAAAATCTGGGAACGCGAGGTGTAGGGTTGAGCCGCACTTGGAGAACAGCGCGGACTATCTGCTAGGACTCCGGCCCTGCGTCTGCTGAGCCCAGTGGCGCCCGCGCACTTACCGCCATGGAGCCGCGGCCTTGTCTCGGGGCCACCTGTTTGTTGGGCTTCAGTTTCCTGCTCCTGGTCACCTCTTCTGATGGACATACTGGGCTTGGAAAGGGTCAGACCGCATTCTTATCTTAATCTTTACTCATCCTGGGTCCTAGCCCAGTATAACCCTATTGTTTTAACACGTTCCCCCTTCCGTTCTATCTCTTAGGTCACGCCAGATTTCTTTTTATCCTCTTCAACTGCCCCTGGACTCTGAAGATTTCTTGGGGTAGGGAGTAGCGGGTCTAGGGAATGTTTTGATAGGAAAGTTGTACTTGAAGCTTTTCTAAATTCTAGGGTTGGGTAAAGAATGGCTCTTAAATTAGGAAAAACATGTTTAAGAGGCTAGCATACTACTTAGCATTTGGTAGGTCCTTAGGAACAGTATTCACCTTTCCTGCTAAGACTGGACTCTGAAGATTTCTTGGGGTAGGGAGTAGCGGGTCTAGGGAATGTTTTGATAGGAAAGTTGTACTTGAAGCTTTTCTAAATTCTAGGGTTGGGTAAAGAATGGCTCTTAAATTAGGAAAAACATGTTTAAGAGGCTAGCATACTACTTAGCATTTGGTAGGTCCTTAGGAACAGTATTCACCTTTCCTGCTAAGAGAAATAGGGCCTTTGGAGACCTGCATTTGCAGAATCCGTCCCCCCCCCCCCCCCCCCCCCCCCCCCTTCCACCCCTC